TTCCAGCTAATTCCAATTCCTGTCTAAATCAAATAGACTATGGGAATAAACCATTCCGATTCTGACTACAAACCACATGGACTCTTAGTTTTTTCGTAAGAATGCACTATTAATCTTCTCTGTTTCATTGTCTACTAATTTGATGGTCTGTTTTTGCTAAAGTTTCTACACTTCAAGTGACTAACCAATTAGTGTTTCTTAGACTAACATAAATCCAAAAAAGATGTGAGAACCTTTATTCACCACTCTCTGCAACAACCAAGCATGGCCATTATGTGTCGCTTCTACCCTACATAGCCTTACCCATTTGGCACTACACTTGGATTAATGTGTAGCATGTTGTTGAACAACATAAAGTGGTGTTTGGTTCATGGTGTTGGGGAGCTGTTTAATCACCAAATAGGCATTTTGACTTTGCCAAATCAAAATTCTATTTGGTTGGACTGATTCAAGTATGTTAGGTTTTGTGAAAGTCGCTTTCGGAGGAAATGATTCTGGATCTGATAATAGCACCGTTGTGTATATGTAGTTAGGTAACGAGTCATTAGAACATGCTATTGTTCCATAAACATGGGTGTGGGTCTCACATTAGTGTTCACTCATGATCACATAGCTCGATATACACAACGGTGTAAGAAAGTACTAGATCCCATGTGGGAGGAAACATCGTATGGACATTTTTTGGCATTTTATCTTATGTATTTGCCTAGTAGCACGTAATGGTGTTAGTGGTTTTTATATGTACTGAATAATAATAATTGTAATATTGTATTTTGTATTGTACCCAATAAATTGTTGGGGTTTTTACCGTTTTTTTGAGGGGTATTATAGTCCAAAAATCCCTAAATTTTGTTTTTCTTTGTAATTTACAATGTTTAAAAGTAAGTGAAATCATAACACTCCTCAACACCAAGATACCAAATCGCTTCAAATCTTTCCGAAAAACAAAAAAAAAGGACAATTAATGGCCCAATGATATCCCCTGCCAAGCCTTTTAAGTTTATAAGGTGATAGTGATTAAAATTTACGTACTCGAGGGGGGTCTGGTTTGACCGGTAAAAGTTCTTATTTCTTCTTGGCATTAGTAGTTAAGAGTGTTCATGAAAAATTAGAAAAACTAATCAAACTAAGAAACCTAGTTAATTAAATCTATAAATATTTTAATTTACCTACCCCTTTGATAGCTAGGTAGCAATCCTATTCATCTACTTGAGATCCCCACACCCAAGGCCCAAACCCAATCCCCCATGACCCATCCCAACTAGTCAGCCAAAGATTAATAGAGAGTCGTGTTGTCAAAATTATAAAAGGATAAAAAATGATAAAATACAAAAATTCATTAGTATTTTATATTAATCATCTTAAGAAAAATAAGCATGATATGAAAAAATTAGTTTTAATGATGATGGAAATGAATACAAAATTTAAAATTAAACCAAAAATGAAATTGTTTCGTATTTGGTTGCGGATCAACTGTTCAACCTTTTAAGTTAAATGTATCAACCTTTTTTGTCATAATTAATAATAAAAGTTAAAAAATTATAAAAAATACAAAAATATATAAATTTTATAGAAATCATTTTATTGATAATGTAAATAAAATGCAAAATTTTATTTTTTTTGTATGGCGATGTGTCAACATTCAACCTTTTAAGTCAAATCTGTCAACCCTTGATGTCATATAATTAAATAATAAAAATTAGGGTAAATTACAAATAACTAGATACCTTATACTTTGAGTGTAGTGATATTTGAGGGCTTAAATTTTCAATTACCATAGTTTACTATCTTAAACTTTCAGAAATATACTTCAGTCCAATTTTGTTAACACTGATTTAAGAATAAAATTATGAAAAATGCCCGCATTCAAATTCTCTTTTCTTGTTTTCTTCTACACCTTTGGATGCAAACGGTGATGGCAAACAAATTTTGGTAGGCAGTGAATTTGTACAAGTACAAAAACCAACCTAAAAGCATTGGTCAATATTCATCCATGTTGTCTAGAGGTTTCACTAGAGAGTTCAAATGTGGTTGATATTTGTCTTGTGCATTGACAACAGTGATCAAATTGATGGATCAATCAAGATTTGGCTTGGGTGTTATTGTGCGACATCGCCACAAACAAGTTGTTAGAACCTCAAATGTGGAGCTGGCGTTAATGAGGTGTGGATATAGGTGCTTGCGTAGGGCTGATATTTCTCTTGGGCTGAAAAGGAATGATCGTCAAACCATTTCTTCATTGTCATCTAGAAGGGAGATGAGCACCTAGCTTGCATCATTTCCTTCCTTATACCCAAAATGCTGGCATGACACTCCTGGCAGAACACAAGCAAATAGTATTTCCCTTTGCCACAAGGGTTGCACAGACGGGGCCTCTGAACCTCGTGCCATCTTGCCAACAGCCTTCAAGCTTTATACTGAACAGTTTGCAAAAAGAGGGATAGAGATTTACATCGATGGGTATCCTCCAAATGTGAGGAAAAGGGCAATGTTACTTTTACATTGATTATCCAAACGCATATGAGTGTAAATGGGTGTAAAAGCTAGTTTGCTTTTTACACTGACAAATCTAACAATTTCTTAAATTCCATTGGTGTAGTTTTGTATTTACACTCTAAATGTCAAATTTACTTTTGCATTTCTTTTTTCAGAAAATGGCTTCAAAGGTATATCGGCCTTTACTAACTGAAACTAATTACTTGTGAGTTGTGATGGCTTATCAATATTGATTTGGAAAAGAGTGATAAATTCATGGAGATGAATAATTTTGTTTATCTTTCTGCATATTATGAATCTATAATAGCACTAGATGCTGATGATATTTCTTCAGTCCCTTCAATGGCTGAGGAAGAGATTGACATCCTTCCTGTTCACAAGGTCACTGGACCCCAAAGGAAAGTTCAAAGCTCCATTTGGCTATTTGGTCTGTTTACTCTTAGATAGAAATTCTGGACTCTTTTTCTAGTAGAGTGGTGACCAAGTAAGTATATGTTGTGGATGGGCTACTAGTTCAAAATATTTATTAAATTGGATTGGACTTGGTCCGTCCATAACAAATTTATATTGGATTGGATTGGATTAAGCCAATATCTGATCCATTGATATAATAAGATAAGAATATATGTGTCAATAGACCAGATTTGGATTGAAACTAATCTAGATCAAAATGAATTTGAACAGATTAGACGGTCCAGACATTGATTTGGACCGCTCCAAATTGGTCTAAAATATTCATTGGATTGAATTGGGCCTGGTCCATTTATATTGGACTCACATTGGACTGGATCAGATTGGACTAAATCCAGTCCAATTGACACCCCTAATTATAGGGTTAAAGGCTGGCTGTTTGGGTTCGTTGATCCATTGGGGCTTCAGTCGAGGGATAACAGGATCTGAAACTATATTATGTAAAAGAACTATATTTTTTAACAAGAAGAATGTTATGGTAGTGGGAATAAATGATTGAAATAATGTTAAGAAGTGGGATCGATCTTACTAACATCAGCAGTAGCAAGTCTCTGTGTGAAGGGTAGCCATGGAAATGCACAAAGAGGCAGTATTATATTGCTAATTAACAGATACAAGTCAGGCTAGCCATCTTGTTCAGCACAAATTTATATTGATTTTTTAATATGTATAATATAACAATATCGGGACACCAAATAAATCAAAGATAAGCCTCCACCCTGAGTAGAAGATACGCAGCAGAAATATATAGAAGTTTCAGAGCTAATGTAGCGCATAGAGAAGAAGAATCTATAAATGAGAACTTAGGCTATGTATGATAAATGTGATGATTTGAATTTAAGTTAGAGATGATGCAAAAATAAATAATACATTTAGGCCCCGTTTTGTTTTTTGGTAAGTTATTTATCCGGGTAAATGTAATTATTTAGATAAGTTTTTCCTAGGAAACACTTACCCGGATAAGTGTGTTTATCCATGTTCTTTTATTTTCTAGATAAATAATGTAATGACCATTTTACCATTATTAATAGGGGTATTTTTGTCCCATTCAAGTGTTGGCAATTTTCCCTTAGGTGAAGAAGTTATTATCCACTTAGGAGATGGACATCATTTACCTGAATAAGTGATATCCAGAAAAATAAACTTTCTCTGATCCCCACATAAATCTCATAAAAGAACATAAGGTTCTCAGTCAATGAAAACCAAAATCCCATTAACCAACTTCCTCCTCTCAAAATCTAAAAATATAAAACGCCCCCATAAAATATTCAAATACCCCAACAAGTAGTGAATTTGTAGCTTTTGAGAACCAATGAGAAATATCATATACCATGTATTGGGGTTGAACAAGTCATGAAAGTGAATGTTCCACCTGATAAACACCCAGCTTTGTGGGGACCATGAACTGCCTCATTATATTATTAACAGGCATTCGAAAGTCAATATGCATATGGTTGTAAAATCTAAACGCGCTTACACAGTCGCCATTGCCCCACACCTGATAATGACATACTACGAAGATTGTTATTAGTTGATAACAACAGATTTATATATATTCTGCTAAGCTTTGGTGTCAATTGCGGCCTTCAGCATTAACAGTTTCATCGAAATAGTTATTATTCATCTTTATTTTTGTTAATATTATTGTGATTATCAATTCTGATAATTTTTCTGACCAGAAAAAATAATCAGATAAATTCGGACCAAAACTTTAGCACAAATTGGGCAGCAACTCCATGGGTACTGGGGAAGGCTGACCCAATAACTTTGATTAATTTTATATTTATAAGGGGATAGTCTCTGTGCATGCTTCAACGCTTCCCGGATTGCTTGGGTGCTGCATGCTTCATGCTCCATTTTGGAATCGAAATCATGTCGTCTGAGATCATTTATATTATTATAAAATTTAGGTAATTTGAAAGAGAAAAGAAAAGAAAGAAAGAAACTCTTGGACAAGTTGAAAGAAACATGCATTTATCCAACTCATCCGTTAACTGGCGTAACAGATTCAGATTCAAAGAAGAAGAATTATGGGTGTGTAGTACAAGTGTAGAAAGGTCAACCTGTAGTACAAAGAGCAGAGGTTTTAATTAAGTTGAAAGCAACTAAATTGAACAAGAAGAATCAGCAAGCAGATCGATTCATGAATCATATGCATGGCGGCCTCATCATCCCCTTCAGTGAAAGCTTTCAATAAGTCAACTATCCTGCTGGCCGTTGCTCTCCTCTTATGTCTGCAATTCTCAGAAATAATGGGTCATGGAGGGGCAGGGGGTGGCGACAGTGGCAGCGGCACGGATTTGCGTGGCAGAGAGTTAATACTTGTAAAGATATGGTGTGTCATAATCCTTCTTGGGAGTACCTTTGCCGCTGGAGTCTCCCCTTACTTCGTACCATGGAACGGGAGCTTTATTCTCTTGGGCACTCAGTTTGCTGGTGGAGTTTTCCTAGCAACTTCTCTAATGCATTTCTTAGGCGACGCAAACACTACTTTTGGTGATCTCACAAGCAAGACGTATCCCTTTGCTTTCATGCTCGCGGCGGTGGGTTACCTTCTCACCATGTTTGCCGATTCTGTTTTATGCGTCCTTACAAGCCAGCCGGGTGAAAGAGAAGCTAAAGTAGTGGAGGATGAAAACACACCAGTTGAGGCAGAGGCAACCATGGATCATAACCCAATTTTTGTGATGAAAGCATCATTTATTGGAGATACCCTGCTGCTTATCCTTGCACTATGTTTTCATTCCATTTTTGAGGGCATAGCAGTTGGAGTTTCAGGTAATTAAATTAAGTTTTTTGACATCATCATCGTTTAAACAATTAAACCTTGTCCTCATCCTAACTATACTTATTTACCCAAGTGCAAGTGAAGGCCTTGCTAAGCCAAGTTGTAAATGAAACTAGTTATATATGTTTTTTCAGCCACCAAGGCAGATGCATGGAGAAACTTGTGGACAATATCATTGCACAAAGTATTTGCAGCCATTGCCATGGGAATCGCACTACTGAGGATGTTGCCCAAGAGGCCATTTCTAACAACTGTTGCTTATGCCTTTGCCTTCGCTATTTCAAGCCCCATTGGAGTAGGGATTGGCATTGCCATCGATGCCACAACACAAGGAGCAGTTGCTGACTGGATCTTTGCCATCTCCATGAGTCTTGCTTGTGGTGTCTTCATCTATGTGGCCATCAACCATCTTATTGCCAAAGGATTCAAACCTCTGGAAAAATCTTACTTCGACACTCCCTTTTTCAAGTTTCTTGCTGTGCTTGCTGGTGTAGCTGTGATGTCAGTTGTCTTCATCTGGGATTAATTATATAACCCCACTACTGTAATTAATTGTTAAGCTAGCTCCACCTGCACCTTAAGCCTTTTACTTTTAAGTTGAAGTCCCCATATATGTGCAAAAGTCTGTTGGACTTAAAAGTGGACAACCACAGGCCCATAATAATCCATTATCTTGTGCTAAACTATATATAAATTATTTATAATATTGAGAACATTAAGGATCAAATACATGGAGAGCCGATTAATTGGAGACAATAACACACACACCCGGCTGAACTACCTATCATAGGGCGTGTTTAGTACAGTTGGGTTGCAGATGGGGCCCACAGTGAGCATTAGCTGGTTCAACCGTAGAAAAGTAGTTCAGCCGGATGTGTATGCTTTTGTCTCCGGTCATAAGTTCTGATACAACTTGATCAAACAACCATATATTAATCCCGGCCTATTAGTTGAGGTCCCTGATCCCTATTACGTACGCTCACTTTTCTTCTCTAACAATTATAAACTTGTTATCAAATTTATCAGGACATTGTTGAAATTTGATTCATAAAAGCGCTTTCATTTTTGTCTAGCTTCCTTTTGGTAGTTTTAATCATGGTTTTAAAAGACGATCTGCAAATAGAACCATTTTAGTTAATGATTTTTGGGTCGACAGTTTGACCATTTAGTTTGAATGGATGGTCTGTTCTAATAAAAAATAAAAAGTATAAAAATAATTAAAAAATAAAAAATGGTTAAAAACCGCTGAATGGATTGATAGGTCAATTGTCCGAGTCAATGGATCGTTGACTGATTGAACGACTTTTGGTCAGGGACCGGATTTGGGGTAAAACGAAACCGGTTGCCTGGATAGTTCCTGGGCAGAACGGTCTGACCATCCGGGTCAATGACAGTTTGAAAACCATAGTTTTAATTAGTATCTTATCAATATATCAGCAGACATGGTCTAACCGTCTAACTTTCAGCTATATAAGCAGCCTGAAAAATCTTTCCTGAATACGTAAAAAGAGTTAAGTTCATCCCAGAGAGAGAGAGATGGGTTCTTTTCTGGTAGGGGTGTAAATGGATCGAACTCGAATTGGATGAGGCAATATCCGAATTCGAGTCTGATTATAAAATCTAATATCCGAATTCAATTTGATATCCTACGGATATTAAAAATTAATATTTGAATTCGAATCCGATTAAATATTTGAATATTTAATTCGAATTCGATTAATTAATTATTTTAAATAATTAATAAATATATAAAATAAATATTTTATTGATATAAATTATATAAAATATTTTATACATTATATAAGAATTAAATAATCGGTCAAATTCAAATATTTATCAAATTGAATTAGGTCATACGCAAATTCGAATCTGATTAACTATTCTGTATGAATGAAATATCCAAATTCGATTCAATTATATCAAATATCAAATTCAAAATTAGATTTTTCAAATGCCGTTTACACCACTATATATCAAATATCGAATTCAATTAACTATTCTAGTGACCAGTGGTCATTCAGGAATAACGAGGCGCTACAAATTCGAAGTACGTGCTGTACCGCAATGCCGGCCAACTAGCTGGTTCTACTTGTACGTAATTAACAGAGCAATCTCTAATTAAATTTAAGTTTGGACATCTCATGTCTCTTCTTTGCAGATTAAGTTGCAGAATGTGACACCATTCATTATGTCACACAAAGAGCATTGTGATTGTCAATGGCAAGTTTCCTGGACTCGCATTTTTGCTAGGGAGGGTGATGGGGTTCTTGTTGTGAAGGTTGTTAACCATGTTAAGAACAATATCACCTTGCAGTACTACTGGTAAGTAGGGACGACTAATTAAAGAGACACTGAAACTTAATACCTCATCCACTTTTGTTAACTGATCGAATAGTTAATATGGAGTACTATGTTTTACTTAATTAGCGATGATCAGTATTATATATGCATATATATTAATTGCTGGATGTGGAGGGAAGAATAGGCATGGAATTCGAACGACGTACAGCTACAGAGCGGATGGGCTGATGGACCAGCATAGTGACTCAGTGCTCCATACGAGCAAATTCAAATTGAATATGGCTTGATTTGAATTCGAAATCCATTAAATAAGAGACGATTTGTATTCAATTCGATATTCGTTAGATTTTTAAAATAATCAATTGAATAAAAATTCATCGAATAAGCTGAATATCCAAATTTGATTGACCGTAATATGTTAAGTTTTTAACCACTCAAACTTAATTTAACAAAAGAACATAAAATGAATTCGATTGACTGAGTTGCTCGTTACATTCAAAGAAAAACACACTTCAAAGAGGAACCATTGACCAATAATCTATTATCTTGTTGATTCAGTTCAGGTGCAATCATCAAATTTTTACCCATTGTCTCTAAGGACCTAATTGAGAAATCGAATTTATTTTACTCAGCTCGACTGAAATTGCTTGTAGATCTAGTAATCGTCTTCAAAGAAAAAGATGCCTACTTGTCTGGTTTTATGAATAACCCTTTCCACATAACTGAGTTACTCTTTGTCTCTCCTAGAGATTCTTGAAGGTATCTATGTCTGTAGCCGTCGCCTGAGATAGAGATAAGTCAAGTTGAAAAGCTTTGGATTTGATTTGAAGCTTTGACCCTAGTTAGCAAAACCAACTGAAGAAACTAGGTGTGATTGATGGCCACCAATTTGTGATTTGCAAATTACCTCTTAAGAGGGAGAGAGATAAAAAAAAAAAAAAGGTATTGAAATAAGGGAAAGTCTACAACCGGGAAAAACAGCGGAGATAATGAGGAGAGGATGAAGACGAAGACGGTGAGGAAATGATGGAGACGATGTGAAATGAAAAGGTAACCTAAAGGATAGGCTATAGACGGGCTTCTCCTACAAAATATTAAAAAATCAATTTTTATTTCAAACGGTAATGATAGCTTCTGTCTTCGCTGTATTTTCATTAACTTTTTATTATTAAAATAATATTATATTGGGAGAATGACGGTTCAGCCCAAGGTAAGAATTTCTAGGCCCAAAGTACAGTTAGGGTAGGTGCCAGCTCATGCCAATTCATAGGTGGGCATTGGTGTATAGAGTGGGGGGTTTTGACATTTTGAATGTATATAGCTCTACAGTGAAATTCAGAAATCTGCATTGGGCTTGTCCATACTTTTCTGTATTATATTGAGTGGTTTTACCAAATGTCATTATGCATTGTACTTCAACTATCAATAAAATGATATATTAATACATTTCTTTTTAAGAAATCAATATTTATGATTCATCATCGCAGATATTGTTAAATAAATATATAATTTATATATTTATAATATTGTAATCGAACCGGATATTTGTCGCATTGAATAATGTTATATCCGAATTCGATGGTTCATTCAATTCGAATTATCTGAATTCGATTCAGTTAGTTTGGATCTCGAATTCGAATTCAAATTTTCGAATACTGTTTACAGGTTACCTATGTCTACAACTTCACCTTTACAGGACAGAGAGGAAGACTCTCTTTTGGCACGCTCACATTTCTTGGCTAATTACGGTCTACCCTCTACCTATACAAACCCATTATCATTCTTTCCAATCGCAGCACCTCCTCATACCCCTTCGCCAAACCCCACAAGGAAATTCAAATTTATCTTTATTAACCAACCAACGGGCTGCCTGGCCCCTTGTACAACTGTTCTGCTAAAGGTACTCTTCCCTTCTATGATAAATAAATGAGTAGAGAGCATGGTTTTTAAAACTGGACCAGATCGGACAATCAAACTAGAAAAACTAAGAATTGGTCACTTAATCAGTTCCGTTTTAGCTTAGAACCATCATTTTGGTCAAAAACTGTTGATTTGGTCAGCAAACCACTAATTCAGACGGTCGAACCATTCAAATTGTCTGATGGTTTTTGGCAGTTATTTATTTTTTAAATTTTTTTTGTTAGAATGGGTTGTCCATTCAATTCCAACGGTCAGACTATTTGATTTGGGAATCGGATCCCTAAACAGTTCATTGTCCAGTTTGATTTTAAAAACCTTAGTAGAGAAGTAGATTGCAGAGGTAGGGCATGAAATCAAACAAATTCCATTGATACTATAATGTTGCACCGGTATTAAGGTACAATAGCAAAGTGCCCATGCTTCAACTATATAGGCTTATAGTGTAAGGTATATTTTAAGCCACCTCATTTGACATTCAAAAATTTTCATCAAAATAAGAGGCGTGGCTGAATCTACCGTGAAAAAGTGGAAGGACGGAGCAAATTTTTTTTCATTTTCTTGGGGCTACACAACATGAATAACCCTTAATTTCCCAAACCCTAGTGGTAATGGGAATGGGAGTTGTGTAGAATGCGAGGTTACGCCTGGATGAAAATGCGAACGGCTATTGCTGCTAAAGTCTTTGACTGGTTGTGGCGGAGACTTGGATCGGCCTTGTCCAAGATTGAGGATGGCTTCAGCTACACAATTGCAACTTCAGCGGGACTAACTGACCCGATACCAAATCGATTCAACCCACAATTTTATGTGAGCTGAGAGTAAATTTTGGATTCTAGGTGTTAAGGTGGTGTCAGTCCTCACTACCTAGCCCACCTATTAATACAACAAGTTTTACCCATGGGATGCCCAACCGAATAGAAGAGGTTGAGGTGAAAACCTTTTCTCACCTCTTGTTTTGACAAAACCAACGAATATTTACTATGGATTGAAAAGGTTGATTTAATCCTAGCTCTCCATTTGGGCGGAAAATCAAAGTGGGCAAAATTTTTCTGAAATGCCCATTTTATCCCTCTTGATTACTATAAATAAGGGTGGTCCATAGCCTTGTAACTCATCCCATTCATTCTTGTTTATTCTCTTGTACGAGAGTGGATGTTTGAGTATCGGGTACGGGTTTTCCAAAAAGGGTGTAAGGGTGTGTGATGAGTAATTGTAGTGAGATTCTATTGTAATTTTTCTTATTTCTATAGTGAAGAAGAAGCTTTGAGTTACTACTCGCGGACATAAGCAATTTGTCCGAACCACGTTAAATCCGGTGCTCTCTCTCCCTTTTCTCTT